CAGCTGTGTCATAAACGAAATATTTGAAGTAGGAAAAAATGGTAAAATGGCAGATAATTTTAATTAAAAATTACCTGAAAAATCCTCTACTTGAGCTGATGTCGTTTGAGATGAAGAAAGCTTACTTCATAAATTCTTTAACAGTTCATATATTAATCCTTTTTTGTTGCTATAATGAAATATTTGAGACAGGGCACTTTTTTTTTTAAGTAGAGGTTTATTTAGCTTCAGGTATAGAAGTTTAAGGGCATGGCACCAGCACCAGTTTGTCCCTGTGAGAACCAAATGGTGGATGGCATTGCAATAGTGAGACCCCATGAAAGAGGGAGAAAGATCCATCACCTCAGCAGTCAGGAAGCCAGAAGGTCTATTCAGGATGAGGCTCAGCCTTTTAAACCACTAGCTCTTAGGGGTCTCACCAGAACAACCTTAATCCCTTCCAAAGACACACCTACAGTGACTTAAGTTCCTCTTAAGTCATTCTTCATGTTGTCACACTGAGGACCAAGCTTCCAGCACATGAACACTTGGGGCACACACCCAACCATATTTAAATACCATATGTGAAGTACTTGTTACCCCTCCTCTTCCTCACTGACACTGCATGAGACRAAGGCATATTCACATGTTTTTCCAACATAATCAGCCTGGGCAGTTCTATAAGGTTTTTAAAAAAAAGGGGATAATGAATCTGGTTAATATTGAACACCTGTCAGAATTTAATTAACCATATCATTGTAAAATTCTTATCAAGAGTTACTCTTTTTTTTATTTTTAACATCTGACATTTCAAATGCTTAGAGTACCTTTGGGTGCAATCAGCGTGGAAGTTGTGACAAGGAAGGTTCAGAATCAGTGTTTCTCCTCATGATTCATTTAGCATGATTTGTCATGAGAGGAATTTATATAAAACTATAATTAAAAGTGTGTGAAATAGAAAGTTTCCTATATGAAACAGAATGTCACTTGTGTTCTGCCTCTAGGTTTGTGTATATTAATTACTATTTAAACACTTGATATTTTTGTTGGCTTTTTGCTTTTCTTCATGAATATATTTTTCACTAAGTTCCCAACAATTTGTGTATCTCTTCTTGCCTGAAGCAGATGATTAAAAAAACACACTGAACGTATATGCACTTCATAGATTCGAGGGACCAATTTCAAACTGCCCAGCAGTAGAACTCATTTTGAATAATGATGAATGTGCATGTGAGGCCATAAACAACGAGGGTCTCCATTCTAACATGAAGTGATTAGCTGGGACAAGTCCTTAAGGAAGAATAAAAGTAAAGTATGTAATTGTTAAGAAGATCCTGCATTTTGAGGAAAAAAAAAGTTTCTTATTTTTTAAAAACCAGTTGTCACACTAGGAGAATACATTAGAAATTGATGAAAATATTGACTATACAGGCCAGAGGTGGGAGGTGACAGAGTAGTAATGGGTAGAGTGGACACATGGAAGCAAATGTAACTAACAGTATGTTATTGATAACATGACTATACAGAGAGGAATTGAGTGACTTTATTTATTTTTCCAGTTGGATATTTAATCCAGGGATACTTCGCCACTCCTCTACATTCCTAGACATTTTTATGTTTCATTTTGAGACAGGGTCTTGCTAAGCTATTTAGAACCTTGCTAAATTGCTGAGGCTGGCCTTRAACTTTGTGATCCTCGTGCCTCAGCCTCCCAAGTGTATGAGTTTACAGGTGTGACTTTTAAACAAAATATATTGTAAGAATTGCAAAGAAAATGTATTCATTATTAATTAAGAATAATATATTTGGTATAATTTTAAAATTGCTTTATGTGAACCGTAGGATAAAAGTAACTGTAGTATTTGAAAATGTGAATATGTTAATCATTTTTTTGTTTCTTCTTCTTGTGCCTGGCCTTAGAGTTGCAACCTGACAGTGCTTGGGTTGTCCACCCACATCCAGCAGCTCCCAACTCCTTTGTGTTTCATAAGTCCTCATGGGAGGCCAAGGGCGGGACTTCCACCTTAGTCAATGATTTTAAYAAAGGAGAATTTCTGTCAAAGGTGTCACACAAGATAGCATGGTGACCTGCTGGTGGTCTCAGCTATACAGCAAGAGCCAGGCTTAAAAAGGAAAGAAAAGAAAAAGAAATATATGTGGAATTAAAAACTATCAGATAAATTAAATAAGTAAAACTGATAAATTTAGTGTTTCATTATAAATGAAATATATATATATATATGTATATACATACATATATAATCTAAGAAAAATTTTTGAACTATTTATTATGAAATCACAATTTTAAAATTTCTTATGTACATTTCTATCTGTGCCTATCTCTGAAGAGGGCCTGCAAACAGTGTCTGATCAGTACAATGAGTGTATACAATATTCAGGTCTTATGTCTAAATATATTCTCCACTGAAAGGAATTAGGGTCCCTTGGAAAAAGTGCTAATTTTAGATTTAGGAAATATGAGCTAAAATTATCATGTTGGTTCAGAAATTAAAGATGCTTCTATTGACCAAAGATGCATGTCAAAAGATATAACAACTGGCTTGAAGTTCTCTAGCCAAATTTTAGGTAATTTGAACATCAAAAAGAACAAAAATTGCAGTGGGTTGCAAAACATTGAAAAATAAAGACCAAAACCCATCAGTGATATTAAAAATAAACTAATAATCACCAAAAACCTTTAAAAGTGACTATTAACACTGGCATAGAAAAATTAATTCAGGAAAGGATATTTGTTGGAGTTTTCAAAAGCATATGAGAGGTGTATTATTTCATAAGATTCTTTGGCATGAAGTATAAAACATTATTTAGTCCACACTTACTTAACTACTAAGTGGCAGTACCAGGTTTTTAATCCAAATTGATTTAAAATAAAGTAATCCAAATTGATTTAAAACCTGTAAATAATTTAAGGATACAGGTTTCCTGGGCAATTATGGTGTGCCTTCTGTGTGGAAAGCACACTGCCATATATTATGCTGAATTGGAAGCAGATTGTGTCCTCAAACTCTGCAAAGAAAGATGGTAAACAGAAAGAAAAAAAGTATTTCAGAGAGCTCAGGCCTAATGTAAAATTCATGGCAGCTCTGGTATTGTGYAGGGACAGTATGACCAAATTAGGAACACTTTCACAATGTTGGTCCCACCTAAATGACCACTGTAGCACTGTCTGTCTTTTGTCTCACATAGCAGAGGAAGACTCATCCTATGCAAAGGACAGTGGTGCTGAAGTGTGTGGGTGGCCAGAAGAGGGTTGTGTTCAGGGAGTATCAGGATATCATGCCAGRGCAACTGGGTAGGGAGGGGTCTTGAGTTTAAATAGTATTACAGTTTACCAAAGTTTATGAATTGGTTGTCTTTAATGTAAATAAAGCTCATCAGATGTCAGCTTGAAAAGACACAAGGCCTAGGCATGATCAACCTGGTATCAGCACACAGTGCAGACAGATTTCCTCTGGAAGCACAAAACCAGAGCTCAAAAAAGAATGTTGAGTCATTTTCAAATGAATGACTGTAAAGTTTCAAGGTGTCTGAGGGAGAAGAGAAGAGATCACAGGCAGAACTTTACAGCAGTGTCTCAATAGGAAACAAGAAGAAAACAAGTCAAGAGAGGGAGAAGGGGGCCATGTGCACCTATGTGTATATCCTAAGCACAACATTCTAGAGCTGATTTGAAAGACATGTACTAGAAAGTGTGACTTAGACAGTTTGGAAGTGTAAAAGGACTGATTTTTTACTCTAGCACTTTGTTGGATTAATTTTAAAATTTTTGCAGATGAACCTTTTTATCTCTTTGATAATTTTACCCATTATAATTAAACATGTTTTGATTGTGAGCACATCCTCAAAGATTTTAGAAGCAAAGAAATTTGGAGAATGAAAATTCTTTTTTAAAAAATTAATTAATTAATTAATTTTTACAGGAGCTCTCATTATTATTATTATTTTTTGCATTACAATTCTTAATATACCTTTATACCACAATTTATCATATCTCTGTATATAAGATATGTTGACACCAAATTCACATCTTCATACATATATTTGTACAACAATGAGGGTCTTCTTCCACCATCCATCTCACAAACTGTTAAAGTTCTAAGTTGGAGCCTTTGTTAGTGATTACTTACGTTGGAATTTTAGAGAGGGTTTTGGAGGCAGAGCAGTTGTAGGTGTATGAACCATAACATAAAGCCAATAATTTTTAAAATTAGTTCCARTTCACATTGGAAATTGTTCTAATACTCATTTTCTTCACATATTTGACTTTCTTATAGAGTGAAGTGTGGCTGTRACATCTTTATTGCTTGACAAGGTTATAATCAATGTTAATTGAATTACAGAGATCCTCAGTTCTTATGGAAGATTGTTGAAGATATACCCCTGGAGCATGCTAAGGAGGGGCTTATCACAGTGTGATCCCCCGCAAACAGCAGCCACATCAACTAAGGAACTTATCAAAGCAAATTTTTGGGCCCCATTCCAATCCTGGGGAGTCAGAAAATCTTGGGTGGGACCTGCAACCAGTATTTGTATAGTCTTCCAGGTGACGAAAAGTCTGATGAAGTTTGAAAACCTGCTCCAGGAGATATGGAAAGTATGATGGATTTATGCTACTTAAAGATGTTTTCTTCTTTGAGCTCTGCTAAAAAATGTCAAGAGGAATATGACTGGTTCTCTGAAGGTCTTGGTTAATGAGAATGCTTTTTCTATAATTACTTAGCATGAATTAAATCTATGATTGCAAATATGGCCATACATAAGGTCTCAAAATGGAATAGTCTGATAATGAAAACCACAGCATTATCACTCATAAAATTTTAAATGCATTGGTTTCATTTCAGATGAAAAAGGGAGAGTAAGCACTTCATTTTACTGAAGTTCTGACTTTCCCACTATCCTTCATAAAAAAGAGTGAATAAAATATATATTATAATGCTAATTACCTAATTATATTGATCATATATTTAYGCACACACTTAAAATGTTCTTCTGCATTTCAGGTCCAAACTGCTTTGCAGAAACTGCTGTCATTCCAGCTGGCAGAGAAGTGAAGACCGACGAGTGCACCATATGTCACTGTACTTATGAGGAAGGAACATGGAGAATTGAGCGGCAGGCCATGTGCACGAGACACGAATGCAGGCAGATGTAGACACTTCACAATATAAAAACTCTCACGTTTTTCTAGACCCTTTTACTGATGTGAACATTCTAGATGACTGGGAAGTATCAATCAAAAGGAGAAGACTTTTGATAAGGAATCATGGAAAATAGTTGGTACATTTGCTTTTCTTGGTAACAATTACTGCAAAAGAAGGAGATGGATATATTTCAAAACATCAACAAGAACTTTGGGCATAAAATCCCTCTCTAAATAAATGTGCTATTTTCACAGTAAGTACACTAAAGTACACTATTATATAATAAATGTATTTCTATAATCCCTCTATTAGAGAGCTTATATAAATGTTTTCTATAGATACAGATTAAAAATGCTGTGCTGTCAACCGTCTTCACTGTGTACCTGCATATCTTTGTCAGTTCTGATTGCTTCAAACGGGGATGCTAAGGATTGCCTGTCCCCCTGCACAGCTTCACACAGACTAGTGCATCCATCCATTAATGGATCATAACAGGACTGGTTTCTATTGAAACCTTGTCCAAATTCTATTTAATTACAGACATCTATCTGATGTTCRTCCCTAGAAGGCACAGACAAATTCACATAAACATAATGCCACCTTCTTATAACAACATATTGCTTTTATCAGTTCATTCTCATTCATTTGGGAAATGTAGGTATAAAAGATTACTAATACACTTTTTCACTTTTTACAGCTCTCCTATGTTGTGGACCATAAATAAACATATACATATATTTCATTTTCATTTTTGTTATCTTCTCTTCTAAGCATGATTCTATTCCATTCCCTAAAATGAGGATTACGATAGACTGGAAAACTTGTATGATTGTTCCATCAAGCTGAAGCATGCTTCAAAATGGAAGGGTCCTTTGATTACCTGGAGAAAATAGAAGGAAAATCCTGTACAAGTTTGAAATTGAAATGTAAATATGGTACAGATATCTCCAACCTCAGTTCAGTGTGGTCATATTATTAATGAGAATAAAGCATCCATCCTCCATAACAGAGCATCTGCCATTAAGAGCAGAGTGAGAAAGCATTTCTTTTGTTCAATTATGTTGAAAGATATAAAGCTGAAGGTCAAGTGTACTCTAAAATTTCCTGTGTTTAAACATAATCTCCTCTTCATTTGGACAGAGAATAAAAGACGCCACTGCACAGTGTTGCTGATCTGACCAGTGTAATTGGAGAATAGTTCTACCATTGTGGATCACATCAACACTTGGCTCTTTGATGAAAGAGGTAGTCAGGGTCTTAATAGGTGCAGGATGAAGAAAGCAAAACTGCAATCACTATTTTAAACCTTTAAAGTGATTTTTCTATAGATTAATTTATTCCAAAATTCGGAATTACACACCTGTTTAGCACAAAGGGTTATAATTACAAAAAAAGGAATAAGGAGTGGTTTCTCACCTTCACATGCTTTTGGTCTCAAGCATAACTGGAATAAAAAATTTGTGTTATTATATTAGGAGTCAAACTAAAGACCATGAAATAGTGATTAGAAAAGCTTACTAAAAGGAGGGTAGAGTACAAAAAAAAAAAAAAAAGAGGAGAGGCACTCACTATATTAAAAGTTCATTAATTAAAAATAATATTCAGGAAAAATTGGTACATCTACCATTGGTGAAAAGTTGAAGTATTGTAGACCTTAGTAAATTGAAGCCACCACTAACTGAATCACCAGGACATTTACATAGGCTCATATTGTTTATAAAGAACATCTTGAGTCAAGTGTATTAACATGCTCATAAATTTCATGAAAATACTCAGGGGAATTATTAACTAATTACTCTCAGGTATGATCAGCTTTCTAAAACTTAACTTTTAGTATTAAAGACTGCTAGATATTAGCTATTCCTCCATTACTCAACAGTAGTTTTTCTGAGACTAGGTTATATAAAGGTACCATTTTGCCAACAAATGACCCTACACCAGTTGGGTAGGTGGGCTATTGAGCTATGTYCCCCAGCAAGCGCATAGCATTTTCTCTTCTCACAAAACACAATGTGGTTACAGCCTCAGTCTACAAAGCCAAGTTTTCCTATTTCCCTTGAGAATACAATCCCTCTCAGAATGGACAGTGAGCTCTGAAACAATGACAGCGGTAAGAATCTTAAATGCTGGGAGAATTGCAGGAAACCAAGAATTTTGTTGCACAGAGAGTAAATAGAGTTTCATATGGGGAAATTGATTTTCACTCAGTATAAAGTGGTCGGGACACAATTGTCTCAACTACTCCTGGGGGCTGGAGATCAGTGGCTGCTATGGCCCTAAGTATCTCTCTTCCTGTGTCCGTTTCAACCCCCTCACTTGTTTCTCCTCATAAGGAACAGTACATACACCAAACATGGCAGAATTTGGATGAATGACACTGCACATACTTAATAATAATGGAATGATCTGCATTGTTGTTGAACAAAAGCTACTCATCTCCTTGCAGATAATTCATGCTGTCACATTTACATAGCTATCTCAGGTAGACATTTGCTTTTTATCCCCTCTGTTCCCACAGAATTCTTTGCTGAGATTTTCACCAATTAAATTGTTCTACTMGATAAGCATGATAACTTCAATAACTACATAATAAAAAGAGGAGTGTATGACCCCAAGTTCTCTGATTCCAAAATATAATTGTTTGGACATAGAACTAAAAAAGCCTCACAATTCAAGTACAGAAGTTTTTGGAAARCCATAATTCTCCAAATTCCAATAGTTTTGATCAACAAGTATCTAATAACTCTTAGATGATTTATTCAAATAAAAAAGGAAATTGTGCTTACAAATGTATTATATGAATTTATTTTAAACTTTTAAACCTATATGAAGCTTCTTATGTAAATCATAGAATAGTTCTGGGATGTTGTCTGATACTTTAGAAGTTTTCAAGTATCTTTCAGCCACAGGACATATTTCCTTTTGGGGTAGAATTTTTAGTACTTTTATTTGCACTTCACAGAAGTCTTAGATAAAATACTTTCAAAAACATATATGTCATTCTTGGGTGCAAAAAACATTAATCGTGAGCCAAGTCACAGAGGCCCCAGTGATGTTACAGCTGGTACAGATGGAAGGCCGGAGTATTTTTGACTTCAAGTAGTTTATATTCTGTGAACCTAATTTTCATATGCTTATTCATATACTTTTAATATTTATAATATATCTTTGTGTAATAAAACATGTTAAGGATGAATTATCATCCATTTTTAAGTTTGTGGCATAGTGAATACAATATGTTTGAGCAGTACTTCTATCGACTTTCCCAGCATAATGTTGTATGTACACAATGTTTTAAAGTCTTTAAATTTTCAGAAAATGCACATATTTTCTATTTTTGGTTTTGGGTTCAAGCAGTGAAATGTTTCTTTAATATGTACATTCACTTGAAACATATATACAGTATTTCAAACAAGCATTGTTGAAAATTAAATCTATTATTTAAATGGACACTCTTTCAACATACGGAAAACAAAATTATAGATATAAAGCATGGGCTACCAATATTAATAATTTATCACATTTTCTTCAATAGGCAAGAAATCAAGTCTACTTAGGTTTGTTTAAAATCAGACTTTTCTCTAACACACACAATGAAGAAAAGTAATCTAAATATCATTCCATCTGAATACTGGGAAGAATCAAAAATACAAACAAGCACCATTGGTGATATATTTTGTGCTTTCTTTGGCCAATATAATTTGTAACCTTAACTTCTTAYTGTACCTACTCACTCCTTATTTTTTTGTCTCACTAGCAGCATCTGTCAATGGCTGATGTAGTAAATAGTTATCCTGAATGATTATATTTAGAGCGCAATTCATTTATTCTGGTATAAATGCATTTTTACAGCACATAACTTTTTAAAATTCCAGTTGCACTTCCAAAGCTATAGTTCTCATTGTTCCACAGTGGAAATGAAATAGCTTACTTACTACCAATTCCTCACTCAAAACCAACCTCTTTTTTACTATTTTAGTATTCTAAGCAAAGATCTCATTTTTAATTGAATTCTTTGAGGATCCCGATTGCACACAGAAGTTTACAGCCAACCTCCTCAGTATGGCCAACTAATATCTTCAAAATTRGGCTCAAGTCTACACCAGGAAACAATGCACTACTAGCTGAAGGTCCTGAGTATACAGACCCTCCTCTGACAACAGTCTATTTCTTTCCCAGATTTTGCTCCATGGATCCTTCTCAACAAGTTAAGATAGTAGCCATTTTTTTTTTCAATGTACAACAATAGTGCCACTGTTTATAATACMGCTTCTGTAGTCTTTAACTGGATTACTGCTGTATGTTTCTGTCAACACTAATTTGGTATTTTGTTTTAGTATATGGTTTAAAAATAATATATACTTTGCATGATAGTTATGTGTTTGCTCTATTATTTTGTAAATTTAATTTATATTATGAGATATTCAGTTGCCTAAATTTTACCTAGTATCTTTATGTTGAAGGCCTGGTGAATTGAATTCAGTCTGTTAATACATAGGTACTTGCTTAAGACAGATATAACTTCCCAGTATTATTTTTCTTCCCTGTTGTTTTTTTGGTTTCTCACTTAACTTGCAGATCTCAAGTAGTCAGGACATAACAAATTCCCCAATGTTGCATTGTAATAGTTTAGAGTGAACTTTGGTAGCCACTAGCCATTTCTGATGAAGTCAGGAAAAAATTATTGGTTTTGGAGTAAAAGTTCTGGTGCTGAAGAAAATTTTTATATTAAAGAGACATACATATTAATGATAAAAGAAGTCTTGTTTGCAGTTTTGAAATTTACTTGCTTATTTTCAGTTTCTGAAATGCAGATTTATCTTAATTTTTATGATTTTGAAAATTTCTGCATATTGTAATTTTCTATATAACATAAACACTAGGTATATAGGSGACTGATAAAATAAATCAATAAAATGAGTTGTCTATGAAGAAATATGGCAGGTTCCTTAGCCTGTCGGAAAGGTACTCAAAAGTGATGGTTGTCACCACAATGTCAAACTTAACTATGAATTTTGCCAAGCATTGGCTATTAGTTTAGCTTTAAAACACACGCGCACACACACACACATACACACACACACACACACACACGCGCGCGCGCGCGCGTGCACACACACACCAAAAAAACCAGAAGAAATTAACTAAGCCCAAATGCCTAATTTTTAAGTGAATAAATCCCATTGAGTAGTAAGTGACATTGAAAATCTGGCTGAGAGTATTCACCCAACGTTTTAAAAATATGAAAAATTAAATGAAAACGTGTTCCAAATTTTTGACTCATGGGCTGTTTGTAATCCAAGAAATATATACCTTTTACCCCTACCTGTTATATTCAGAGAAGTACATAAAGTCCATGGCTGAGCCATTA